ATGAAATACTATTTCATATCCACTAGAATGACTATTAAAAAAATAAGGACAATACCAAGTGTTGGTGAGGATGCTGAGAAACTGGAATCTTTATATGTTGCTGGTCGGAATATAACATGGTATAGCCATTATGGAAACAATGTGACAGTTTCTTAAAAGTCAAACATAAACTTACCATAAGACTCATTAATTCCACTCCTAGGAATCTACCCAAGATAAATGAAATTATATATATATACACAAATATATGCACATAAATGTTGATAGCAGCATTATTCATAATAGCTGAAAAGTGGACACAAGCTAAATATCCATCAACTAGTGACTGGATAAACAAAGTGTGGCATATCTATCTAATAGAATACAATTCTGCAATAAGAATGAATGAACTGATGCTACAAAATGGATGCTCAAAAACATGCTAAAGAAGATACAGAAGGATATATTTTATTAATTCATTTACAAAATGTCTAGAATATTCTTAGAGGTGTATAAATCAGATCAAATGCTCCCTAGGCCTGGGTGTGAGAATGGGAATTAACTGCAAATGGGCACAAGGAAACTTTCCGGGGAGAAGGAAATGCTTTAAAACTGGACTGCACCAATAGCTTCACAATCTATATATTTACTACAAGTCATTAAATTATACACTTACAATGTGCTAATTTTATGGGATGTAAATTATACCCCAAGAATGGTATTAAAAAGGAATGTGTTTTCCGCAATAGTTGGGCATAATATTCTGTAAGTATCAACTACATCAAGTTGGTTGATAGTGTTGTTTTGACAACTTTCTTATGATTATTTAAGAAGAATATTTTAAGAATCTCCAATTATTATTTTTGTTTTTTCTATTTTTCCCTTCATTATGCCAGTTTCTGCCTTATAAATTACAATGCTCTGTTTTTAGGTATATAAATATTCATTGTTATAACTTCCTGGTGAATTGCTCATTTTCCAATATGCAATGTTCATCTTTATATCTGGTACTACTTTGTCCTGCTGTCTACTTTGTCTGATATTAATATAGACTTTTCACCTTCCTATGCTTTATGTTTGCATTGTATATTTTTTCATCATTTTATTTTTAACTATCCTTGTTTTTATATTCAAATGTGTCTCTTATAGACAACATATAGATGTATCTTCCTTTTTTATTCAGTCTGACAACCTCTATCTTTTAAGTGGGCGTTTGGTCCATTTACATTTATTGTAATAATTTATACGAGTGAGTTTACATCTAACATTTTGCTATCTGTTTTCCATTCATTCCTCCTATTTTAATCTCTATTGTTGATTTTTCCCACCTTTGTTTCTATTAACCAAATTTTTTTTTTTTTTTTTTTTGCAGTACGCGGGCCTCTCACTGTTGTGGCCTCTCCCGTTGCGGAGCACAGGCTCCGGATGCGCAGGCTCAGCGGCCATGGCTCACGGGCTTAGCCACTCTGCGGCATGTGGGATCTTCCTGGACCAGGGCACAAACCCATGTCTCCTGCATCGGCAGGCGGACTCTCAACCACTGCGCCACCAGGGAAGCCCCCCAAATATTTTTTAAGAGTTTCATTTTATGTTCTCTATTAAATTCTTACCTATACCTCTTCTCATTTTTTTTAGTGGTTACTTTAGGGCTAAGAATATGAATCCTCAATGGGTCCATACGGGGTCAATACTGTAACTGTTTGCTCTTCAAATCTGACACTACAAACTTTCTCTCCCATCTCACATCACACCTGACACTATTCATTTCATTCTTTCCATTTTCTGCTTCCTACTTCATAACCATACAACAGTATAATTCCATTCACCTGGCCTTGTCTTTTGTGCAATTGTTGTTTTAAAGAAAATTACAAGAAAAAGCATAGAATTTTACGTTTACCCAGCTATTTACTGTTTCCAGTGTTCTTCTTTCCTTTTCATAGATGTAAATTTTTATCTGGGATCATCTCCCATCAGCTAAATGACATCTGTTAGTGCGTTTCCAGTTCTGCTGGCACCATATTCTCTGAGCTTTCATGTGTCTCATTATGCCTTTTTTTCACCCTCGTTTATGAAGTATATTTTCACTGAGTATGAATTGACAGTTTCAGTCTTTTCCTTTGGGTACTTTATAAAAATGTCTTCTCATTGTCTTCTGGCCTTTACTGCATCTTCACATAAGTATTCATAATTCATATGACCGTTCTTCTGTATGCAATATATTTGTTTTCCTTTGATGACTTTCAAGATTTCCTCTTAATCTTTGGATTTCAGCACTTGGACTATTATTAATTTAGGGATGATTCTTTTCATACTTAATCTGCGTGGCATTCACTGAACTTCTGGGATCTGTGAGGTGGTGTTTTACATCAATCTGAGAAGTTTGTGACCCTTATTTCCTTAAGTAGTTTTTCTTCCCTTTTCTCACTCTCTTTTCCTTCTTGGATTCCAATTATAAGTATGTTAACATTGTATCACAGATGCTTGAGGTTCTGTTAATTTTTCTTTTATCTTTTGACTTCTCATTCTTCAGTTTGGTTAATTTCTCTTTATCTAAGTTCACAGACTCTTTTATCCTACTTCTCCAATCTGATGCTAAGCTGATCTAGTAAAATATCATTTCTGTATTATATTTTTCATTTCTAGAGTTTCTATTAATTTTTAAAATATTTTTTCCTTTCCCTGATCAGCTCAAGTATTAAGATAATATTTTCATTTAGTTCTTTGACATATTTTCATTTGATTCCCTGAATGAGGTCCACTGCCTAAAAGCAGTCATCTTATTTGTTTTGTGCAGCTTTATAGTTGTTTATGGTGTATGGGTTAGTCTGGTAAGTTATTTCATTATGGCTGGAAGCAAAAGTACTGACAAATTCTTCTTATATTTTTGTACGTGAAAAATAAAGCAAAGTTTCATCTATAGAAGACTGGCATTGCAACGATCCTAATCATATCTTTTCTAGAAACTATGATACTAGTCAGCAACCAGTCACTTTATGCAGAGAATATAAACTTCAGGAATATTCTCTGAAGAAAACTGGACACAAAATTAGTTCTAACAAATGCTATCAGCAACCAAGGAAAACAGAGTGAGAGAAAATGAAGCTGAGCCACGATTTTCTTCAAGCAAGTACAGTTACAAATATGTAGACTCCTGATAAGCACAAAATAGGTTATGAATGAAAATTTTTATGATGATGGTGTTGGCATTTATGATTGTACAAAACTATCCCATGTGATACTGTTACTAGGACTCCTGAATGACGGTTTACAAAATGTATTATATGGTGTACGTGAAAATGCTAACCAAACAATTAAATGCAAATGTTGCACCAAAAATGACACTCATTTCCAATAACATTCTTTTATATTTTGCAAAGACCTTTGTACAAGGTTCGTTCTCCTGAAAGTTTTGTCTTTCATCATGCATGACACAACAACACTCATGAGGATGGATTCAACATGTGAAAAAGCACATACACAAATAATCACATTGCACCTTGTACTTTAGACTCAACATTTCCCATAAAAAGTGGCTCAGAAAAATGTCCATCTCCCTGAATACTGTCTAGTTCCAAAGAGTTGGCTAAAATATATTTTAAGTGGGGTTTGTTATTCTTATAAGTCCATTCTGTTTGTTGTATAAACACATACAAAATAATTTTTCACCACTTATAAATTTTGGCAAATTATAACCATAAACTAAATAGGATTAAGTATATTAATTATGCTGATTTAAAAAGAGTCCAAAATACATGCTGTGGCTCAACAAAAAGGAAGGAAATTGGCGAAAAGGACACCCTTTCCTATTAGAATATTATATTCTTGAGATAAAGAACACTTGTGGTATTATCTGTTAAGACAAAACAAAACAACTAAGTTTTATATTATTTAAGTTTTGTCTTACAAAGCTCAGGACGTTCACTTTTAGAGGCATGTAAAGCTGAAGACTTAAGAGTTGTTTGAAGCAGTATTGGATATACTTGACCACATCTGTGAGTTGAAGTGTGTGCTTCTATTACCCTCACTGTTTGCAAACACTCATGACTAACTTCAAAAGACTCCAAAAAATGCTATGTATGTTCAACTATTCTTACTGCACCCTAAATTTCTCTTATGAACAAAGGGGTGTGCCAGGTAACTTAGATCTGCAGAAAAGACAGAGTGGCAACAACGACATGAATAATGTTGGAACCAGAAACACACACACACACAAATCAAGTAAATTAGGTTCAATCATTCATGTTTCTAATAGATACCTGGACGTTTAACTTCATGTTTCACTTCAGTTTTGAAGATCACAAGATACAGATTATAATTATTTGGGTAGAGTAGAGATCTTAGGTAGTTATATAAAATTCAAGATTAAACAAAAGCAGAAATACAATGGGATATTACCTTCAACCATTTAGATCAGGGGTTGGCAGGCCTGTGGACCAAACCCTCTGCCTGTTTTTGTGACTAAAGTTTTATTGACACATAGCCATGCCTTTCACTGACATGTTGCCCATGGCTGCTTCAGCACCACAATAGCAGAGCAAGCAGCTGTGATACCCCAAAATACTACCTGCACTTCACAGGAAAAATTGATGACACCAGATTTAAGTAACTGCCTAAATTTTTCAATTCATTCAATTTCTTAACAGAACATTACAACCTACTGACATTTTAAAGACTTGAGAATATGCATACACCAGTCTAAGCAGAAGAGAAATCCAGCTTCGGTTAGAAGGATGGATGTACAAACTCTTCTCTTGCTTTGTAAAGAATTAAATAAAATTTTATAGGATTTAAAAAAAAAGTCTGTATCATATTTGAGTCTAAATGAAAAGTTTAAAAACATTTATTTATATAGACATATATATAATCATGCCAATTTTCCTTCCAAGTTTTATTTAGAGCGTATTTACTATTTCTGGACTTCTGGTTCTCAAAATCTGAATGACAGCACCATGATTTTGAAAGTTAGAAAGATCGCAGTTGCTGGCACTGACTTCATGAAGCAGACGGGACCTGCTGCTCACCTGGGGGTGTGTAGGCGTCCATCGAGGTCTGCACAACCAAGGACCTGCGTTTGGAAGGCATAGGCACTGCCATCTTCCTTTCTTTGTGTTTAGCGAGCGCAGCCTGGACAGCTTCTGTATGGACGTCTGAAACAAAGCGAGAGCTAAATCACTCCATTGTTCAGGGACAGCCCGAAGGCCCCAAGCTTTTCTGCTTTCTTTCTGGTCCTGTGAAAGAGTTTATCATCCTACAGAAACTGTCACAAATGGATGAGTGGGGAAGGAAGGAAAATAAGTGTAAACCTGCTAGTTTGAAAGCTCCAGGAAAAAGGCATTCAAATTCATTCATAGACTTTTAACTGTTCATTTTATTACCCTAGATCTGTATAAATAATCAGATACGGGATGTAAATCGCTGTGATGTTTCTTTTCTTAGAGTGAAAGGACATGGATCTTCAGATATTTCTTCACAGGTCACATTTTCAAGCTTCTTAATTCATTTCAATGTTCTGTTAAGGTAAGTATGTACACCTTACAGGCTGTACCGTAATGATCTTAGCTAACACTTTCCAAATATCAGTTACGGGGCAGTCACTATGTTAGGTATTTTGTGTGTATGAACCCATTATGTTAACTCCACAAATGATATTTTACTGCCGATTTTGTAAGGTGGTGTCCTCAGGGCTTGGCGTGGAGAATCAGGTGGACAAGGTACTGTGTCTCATGCAGCTCACTTTCTAAAGGGTTAAAGACAGACAACAGACAATCAAAGGGGGTAAGAATGAAAATAAGATAAAAAGATTGAGTACCTACTTAACTGTGAAGCCAGGGAAGAGCTCTCTTACTGTGAAATCTGAATAGTAAGATGAGAATCTCCAAGACAGAGGGAAAAGCCAGCTCAAAGGCCCTGCACTGTGAATGAGGATGGTGCTGGCACAATGCACACACCACCAGCAGAGGGACTCACCAGGATGAGGGCTTTACGGGAGTGGCACAGAGCTTGGCTACCATTCTAACTTTGACAGGGAAGCATGGGGGAAGAAGGGTGAGCATGGATGACATGATCTGATTCCATTTTGGAGGGCTCATTCTGGATGTTGTGAAGGAGACTGCAGGAGAATCAGAGTAGGAGCCAGGAAACCAGTTACAAGTCTGCAGTCAGGATGCTACTCCACCCGCAGTCCTGACTTCTCGGACATTTGCGTATCATCTCTTGTGAAGTATATGTCCAAGTTTTTGAGCTGCCTTTTTATTACTGATTTATACTAGTTCTTTATATATTATGGATACAAGCTTTTTTTTTTTTTAAGATATATGTTTTGAAAATACTCATCCCAAGTCTATGGCTCAACTTTCAAACCCTTAATAGTGTGCTTGATGAGGAGAAATTTTTCATTTTCATGAGATTCATTTTGTTATCTTTTCCTCTCTAGCTAGTGCTTTTTGAATCCTGCCTATAAATTTCTACCTACCCCAAGGTTCAAAAAATACACTCCTTTGTTTTCTTTGGGAAGCTTTATACTTTTACCTTTTACTTTTAGGTCTAGGTAGCATCTCAAGTTAATTTTTCTAAGTAGTGGAAGTGGAGGTTGGTGTTCACATTTTCCCACATGCTTACCTGATTTTTCAAGTACCATTTGTTGTAAAGATTTTCCTTTCCTTATTAAATTGCCCTAGCTCCTTTGTCAAGTGTCACCTGACCATGTGTGTACGGGTTTAATTTTGAACTCTCCATCTGGTACAGTAAATCCATTTGTCTATCCTTCTGCTAGTTCTATACTATGTTGATTAATTATATATTTTTTTCAGTTAGAGTATTTACAAAACATATAAGATTCACCCTCCCAGCAATTTTCAGGTGGTCAGCACAATACTGTCAACCACATGTACGTTATTGTGCCACAGACCCCAGAAGTCCCCATCCATCCTGCATGACTGAAGCTCTACACCCACCTAACAGCAGCTCACCACCTCCCTGCCCCCAATCCTGAGCAACCACCATTCTACTTTCTGTTTCTATGAGTTTACTATTTTAGATCCCTCATATAAGTGGAATCACACAGCATTTGTCTTTCTGTGACTGGCTTATTTCTCACAGCAAAATGTCCTCAGGAATATGCTGTAGAATATGTCATAATTTCCTTTCCTTTTAAGGCTCAGCAGTATTCCACTATATATACACACCATATTTTCTTCATCCATTCATCCACCGATGGATATTTAAGTTGCTCTGACCTCCTGGCTAATGTGAATAATGCTGCTAAGACTATTGGTGTGGCAATATCTGCTCGCATCCCTGCTGTAATATTTTGGATATATATCCAAATAGAATTCATAAATCATATGGTGGTTCCATTTTTTATTTTTTGAGGAAGCTCCATACTGTTTTCCATAGCTGCTGCACCATTTTACATTCCTACCAACAGTGCACAAGGGTTCCAATTTATCTACATACTCACCAATATTTGTTTTCTGTTTAAGAAAAATTTTTATAATAGCCATCCTAATGGGTGTGAGTGGTATCTCACTGTGGTTTTGAGTTGCATTTTCCTGATCATTAGTAATGTTGAACATCTTTTAATGGACTTATAGGCCATTTGTGCATCTTCCTTGGAGAAATGTCTATTAAAGTTTTTTGCCGATTATTAAATTCGGTTATTTAATGTTATTGAGTTGTAGGAGTTATTTATATATTCTGGATATTAACCCATGATCAGATGTATACAAGAGGATATGTTCTTCAAGTTCATAGGTTGCCTTTTCCCTCTATTGTTTCTTTACTGCAAAGAAGTTTTAAGTATGATGTAGTCTCACTTGTCTAATCTTGCTTTTGTTGCCTGTGCTTTTGGTGTCATATTCAATAAATCACTGCCAAATCCAATGTCATGAAGCTTTCCCCCTTTGTTTTCTTCTAAGAATTCTACAGTGTCAGGTCTTACATTTAGGTCTGTACTCTATTTTGAGTTAATTTTTGTATATGGTGTAAGATAATGATCCAACCTCTTTCTTTTGCAAAACAAAAGCCAATTTTCCCAACACTGTTAGTTGAAGAGACTATCCTTTCCCCACTGTGCAGCTTTGGCAGCCTTGTCCAAGATCATCTGACCATATACACAGAGTGTATTTCTGGGCTTTCTATTCTTTTCCATTATTCTACATGCCTGCCTTTATGCCTGTACCACAGGGGTTTGATTACTGTACCTTTGTAATTTATATTGAAATCAGGAATTGTGAGGCCTCCATTTTGTGGTTCTTTCTCAAGATTGTTTTGCTTATCTGAGGTCCTTTGAGATTCCATATGAATTTTAGAATTTTTTCATTTCTGCAAAAAATGTCATTGGGGTATTGATAAGGAAGATTATTGTAGTTTTATCATAAATTTTGAAATTAGGTAGTGCAAGTCCTCCGACTTTGTTCTTTTCAAGTTTGTTCTGGCTATCCAGATTTGATCTCATTTTCATGGAAATTTTAGAAACACTCTGTCAATTTCTACAAAAACTCTGTTGGGATTTTGATTAGATTCATGTTAAATCTATAAATCAATGTAGAGAGACTATCTTAATATTGAGTCTTCCAATCCATGAACACACGGTGGATCTCTCCATTTTTTTCTCCTTTAATTTCTACCAACAATGTTCTGTAACTTTCACTGAGGAAGTCTTCCTAAATGCTGGATGTTACTGATGTTATTATAAAAAGCATTGTTTTTTTATTTCACTTACAATTTTTGTTGCTAGTGTATACAAATACAATTAGTTTTTACATACTGAATTTCTCCCTTCTGCCCTTGCAAAATTCACATTATTTCTACTAGTTTTGTAAATTTCTTAAAATGTTCAAAATAAACCATCATGGTGTCTGTAAATATAGTTTTACCCCTTCCTTTCCAGTTCAGTGAACTACACCAAAATATTGAGTAGTCATGTAAGGGTGACAAATTACAATGTATTGTTTTTTGTCCATTCTTTTAGATATATGCAAGGTTTTTTGCCTTCAGCATAAATTACTTTTGCAATCAGATAAAAGTTATATTTTTGACATAAAACAATCATTTTAGAAAATATGAATAGATTAGAAAGGTACATTTTAAAGAAGTGTGGATTTTTTCCCACACTTAAAAAAATTGCTAAAACCAAACAAAAGTGTGCTAAATTTTTTTCACAAAATTGAAAGAAAATAGTAAAACAAGAATATTTTCAATCACAAAGACACTCACATGCCCAAACTAGGAGCCACTCCTGGCCTATGCCCCAGAAGGTAAAGAGTTTACCCACAGTTGGCCATGAGTCAGAAATAAGTGCTTGTTGCTGTTAAGTTACTAAGATGTTGGACAGCTTACTGTACAGCAAAATTGAACAATACATAAACTGATGAAGTAACTAATTCTTTTCAAAAGCCAACTCTGTGTCTTATTTTAACTGCAAAACAATGGCATAAGAAACATTTAAAACATTTAAAACATCTATAAATAGCACCCTGAAGGGTCCATAACATGAATATGGTCCATAACATGAATAACGATGAATAACGATGGTAGGTGGAATACCAGGATGACCCTCCCCAAACAGCAGTGCTGGCGTGATCACTGAAGACCCCTAGAGACCATGCTCACCCAGTCAAAACAAGGCAAAGATACGGAAAGAGGTGTGCGGCCCTGAAGTTGAAGAGCTGCCTCTGGGGTGCACAGTGTAATTAGGGCAAAAAGCATTCACGGCAATGTTGAATGAAATGTTAGGATCAGAATTACCTCCACATGGTAAGCTTTTCAGGGCTTAATACTCCCCACGCCCAACCCAAATATCCAAACCAAAAAAGGACCACTAACATCTCAGGAGAGTGACTAGATGGAGAGACCTTTTTGGAAAGATGTTTCGAAATATGATGATTAGTCGGGGGAGAAAACCAACCCATGTCACTGTGCGACTCTCCTGGTTGTTCTAACTTGGCTTCTCCCTTCCATCCTCAACAAGGCTGGGAGCTCTCCTAGTTCCCCCTGTTGCCAGTTGTACGTGTCTAACAGCTGCAGGACGAGAGGAGAGAGTAAGACTGGACCACACGGCAAAGGGGACACAATGAAGTCTATCTTCTGTGAGAACCAACATGTGTCATCGGGTGCCATGGGGAGGCCCCTTGGCAGTTCCAAGCGC